TTCGTTGATCGTGTAGAGGACGGTATCAACGGCTGGAAGGAGAAATTTGATGTCTGACGCCATATCATAGTCATCATCGACATCCTCATCTCCTCCATCTTCTTTCTCTCTTTCTTCCTCTTCCACTTCCTGAGCATCAGACTGATGCATCGAAGAAGGACCTGCAAAAGAAGAAGTATGAGTTGAGGGCTCAAGGTTAGAAGAAAAGAAAGGGTAGGAAGATGGAATACCTGAGGGCCCATCATCAGACTCTCCAAGAAGCTGTTCAAGCCAACAACGACGCCATTGTTGTTCTTCACTGCAGGGCTGACAATGCTCAGGCTATAGCTGATCAGCAGACTGGTCTTCTTCAACAGATCCTGGATGTTGTCCGTCAACCAGCTCCAGTGATCGCACCCTCTTTCTCTGCTGATGATCACGCCCATCTCCATGAGACGCGTGAGGCAACGACAACTCTAGCCAATGCTTTGCAAAGGCTGGAGGATTCAATGGTTCTCCAGCGTCAGCGCTTGGACGAACTCTCTGGCCAATTCTCTCAAGTCTTAGCCAGAGAGAGGGAGATGAGGTCCAACGCTGGTGAATCATCCGATGCTGTGCCTACCCCTTCTCAGGCCGTTGGTCCAGTATCAGCTACAGCTACAGTAGAAGCTGAGGCTCCTAGAGCTGAAGCAGTTGCTGCTCCTGTAATCCCGACCACCGAAGCTGCTCTAGCTGAGAATGTCGATGCCATCCCTAGGGATGATGATCATACCATCACTGCTATTGGTGATGATGATGATGATGATAAAGATGATGATGATGATGATGACGACGATGATGAACCTACCATTCCAGATACCGAAAATAATCTAGATGGCGACGACAACGATGATGATGAAGATGACTTTACCATCAAGTTTCAGAAGCCATCAACCGTCACCAAAGGTGTTACTTTTGGGGATTCCGCATCCCAGGGAGAGCAAAGGCAGGGTGAATCGACTCCATCAGGGAACCAGGACCCCAAGTCGAAAGGCAAGGCGGTCGCTGAAGAAGGGAACTTGAAGGTATTGTTCGAAATCCCTCAACAACCTTTGTTTGAAGACTCTACCTCTCAGGTAGTGATTACTTCAAATTATCAACTTCATATTCCATCAACCACATGCGGTCGACTGGAGTGGGTACCTAATCAACCCACTTCTCGTGCTCCTACCGACCAGCAGATGTCTCAGTTGAAGGAGCCACTCGACCAGACTAGAGTAAAAATCCCTCTTCGTACCTCTAGTGGTGGTGAGTTTGAATTCTTATCTGAAGCTGAAAGACTCGAGGCATTAAGGGCTGAAGAAGAGCTAGAGCTTCAAAAGAAACAGACTGAAGACAACTTGAAATTGGCCAAGTCACTAGCTGAAAAAGTCCTTCCCAAGAAAAAGTCCAAGAAAACGGTGAATGATGTCCAAGCCCAGGCTAAACTTCTTTCGATTGCAGAAGCTGAACGCAATAAGAACCTGAAGCTGATGGATAAGGACAAGCAATGGAGCGAAGCAAAACTAAAAAAGAGACTCAGTCCCCGCCCGATTATCAGCGTCAGCATCAGTGGACGTTCTAAAGATGGTGGAACACTGGTCTCAATGCTCATCACCAGGGACAATCTTGATGCCGTTACC